CCCACCACCACCAAGCCGACCACCACGAGGACGACTTCAGCAGCCAGTCTGGTCATTGTCCCTAAAGGCGCCGTCCAGTCCGATCACGTCCTCCAGAACTCTAGCGTGGGCCGGGGACAGGCGGCGGCGGCTCGGGGGGCGCTGAAGAGCGGCGTGGTGGCGTTCATGGTGCTGGGACTCGCCGTGCTCACGCTCGCTCTGGCCGTCGGCGGCCGCAAAGCGATGGAGTCATTCGACCGGCGACATTACACGAGACTGGAGCTGAACGACCTCCATTATGAGGTGTGAGCAGAACCAGGCGACGAGTCCATTTAAGGGCGTTAGCATCCATCTGGGACTCATCTGGTTCATTTATTACAGCAGCTACACACTGTGGTCAGCAGGGGCCGCACTGTGCACAACACCGGCCTGTGATTGGCCAGAGGGCCCACTTTGGTTCATCTACATTTAAGCAATCCTTCGTCTTTAGTTTGATCCTGTTGTGACCACAACGATCCCCTCAGACCTCTGCAGTCATGGAGGTTAGCACCGCTAGCTGCATGTTTATTTATCAGTAACATGGTGTAAACAACGTAAGCTCCGCCCACTCCAGGCCCCGCCTCCTCACAGTTCATACAATGATAAAGATGACACCGATCAGCGGTGCTGTTTTCACTTCCGTGAAGCCTGTAATTAAGTGAAAGAAGCTTCACAACAACAACAGTTGGTCTAAAACAGGAGAAATCCTGATTCTAAACAGTATCAGACACGTTAGAGTCTAGAAGCTCCTCGTTCAGAAGTATAAAGAACTCGAGGCTTTGTCTTGTTATTTTCACTTTAATGATAAGAAAAGATCTTAAATTTCAAGAAGTGTTTTATTCAGTAGCTGCACTGTTTCTGTAGCGGTGGTTTAAAAGCATCTCCACATGGTTCCATATCTGTTCGGTTATTTAGCTCCATGTGGGACGTGTTTTCAGAAGGATCTGAACTCCACCGTAGACTTTCCGTTATCAGAGAGCATGCAGCTTTATGCTCTCGGCTTTGACACATTCAGCTTCAGCTCCGACAGATTTCACACCCAGCCGACCATCACTGAGGCCTGGAAGCTCCTCAGACGAGAACCTTCAGCCGGCGACGGAACAAAGAACAAACAGCAATACTTTTAAAACTCAGGAAGCCTCTGAAGTGGAGCTGAAGGCGTGACTCTCGGCGGCCCTTTGTGAATACACTGCATGTCTTCTTAAGCCACAGCTTCAGCCATACGAGCTTCTCAATCACCAAATCAGTCTAGATGTCAGACGCACTCTCACTGTGGTGTTTTTGTATTTCGTCCACATTTTTCTTGTTTCACACGTGGATAGAGGTTCCACCGCTGGATGCACTCCTCTGAGAATTGATGCACTATTGTATCCTGTGTTTTTTGATAAATATGATCTGCTTCTTTTGTGATATTTGATTGTTTTTCATAGGTAAGAGGACACGGCTGCGCACTATTTTCCTATAACACTGGTGGTGTTTGTATCGAGGCGGCTGCAGCGTTTGTCCAGCAGGTGGCAGCAGCAGCAGCCGAACAACCGCTTTGATTTTTACTGTCTAATTAATTCCATGGATGGTTCATAGTTTGGTCTTGTTTTGTGAAGTGATGCTTTTGAATAAGTTTGGAATTTGATGTTTTGTTCTTGTAAGAATAAAAAAAATGTGATTTTTGAACACATCGGCTTTTCTGTCTCTTCAAACTTCAAAGTGCAGCTGCCTGGACGTGATGGTTCAGTGATTTCAGGACAAAGAAAGTGCCGTTCTTCTTCTTTTGTCTTTAATACGTCCTGACAGGTGAACTGCTCCTGATTTATTCTGCATAGATATGTGACGCTAACATGGAGGTTCTGGTTCTGGGGGCTGAATATGAACGGGACCCAAATACACACTGAGAGGAAAACGCTAAAGATTCAACAAGACGTGTAAAATAGGAATCAGATCAACTTAAACATTTAAACCTGCTTTAGAAGAATAAATAACTATAACCAAAGGGAAGCAAGTTTTAGAGAAGAGTAAATGTAAAAAAGAAAGTACAGAAATTAAAACTTGTATTAACATGATTTTTAAAAAATTTCTTTATTTTTTTATTCTAGGATTTCTGACAGCAGATTTAGAAACGTCTGAATGTTTTTTTAAAAATAAAATTACTATTTTTCTTAACCAATTTTGTCACACGAGTGACATTATTGAAGCATATTTCTGTCTGAAGCACATTGATGGATGTTCACAGATGTTTGAATATCTAATAGATGGAACATGTCTCATACATTTACATATATTTGTAGATATTTAATTCAGCCGTTGAATTATGAATACCTTCAGACACAAAGCTGGTTATCGTTCTGACATTATTTAAGAGACAAAGACAAAAACCTTTTGTTTTAGTGTGTGGCTTAAAAACGTGATAAATAGCGGCGTCCATTAGGATAACATGGAGCCTGCAGGAGTCTGCGCACTAACAGCGGATCCGTGCTGTTTGCGGCTCCGCAGCGGCTGCGGGGCGTTTCCACCGAGTGCGGCTGAAGCAGAAAAACAAAAGGAGCGAAGGATCCGAGCAGCGAGGCGGGGGGAGCCGAGCGGAGCCGAGCGGAGCCGAACGGAGCCGAGGACTGTATGGAAAACGGAAAGTGCCGTAATTCACCTCTGCTTACACACTGTTCAGCACTCTGTTCATGGTCAGAGCCAAAAAGCGCCGTTTTCATCCTGCAAAGAGACACTTTTAGGGAACTCTGTTAAATGCGGCTTACCGGTTCCTACAAAGCCTTACTGAGATGCTTTAAGATGCTGCTTTTTACATCAGTGGAAATGTTTTACGCTGGTTTTCCTGCATCTCTGAGTGCAGTAGTTTCTGTTCCAATCAGTCAATCTGCTTTGTCTCTGGTGAACTACATATTAACGAGCCTGAGAATATAATCATTTCTGCTGCCCTCCTTGTCTTTTTAATTAACCTGTTAACTGCTGCTGTGGAAATATGGCTGCATTGGTTGGACAACTGTGGGTAAAAACTGGTGCCATAATTAGAGCCATAAAAATCTGTGCTTTGTCAGTTTTTGACAAACAAGCAGCGCTGTTCAGCAATTCCCCTGAGGTACCCTACCAAGGGGATCAATAAAGTTCTATAAAGTCCAATCTAATCTGTTGTTAGAGCGCCTGATAAAGTGAAGCTTTGCTGGCTTTCAGCAGCATAAAGAGAGCTGTAGTGATTCAAAAGCTGAAGGAAGTGGCACCTTTTGTATACAGTGCAAAAAGTTTTGGGGTTTTTTTTAGCTTCTGATTGTGTTGAAAGAGCTGTTGAAACTAAGGCAATGTAAAATTACCATTCAGGACGTTTAGTTGTAATTAACTTTCTGTGAAAGTGATGCTTTCTGGCTTTCACACCAGGAAGAGCTTTAGGCTTTTGTTTAAAAAGCGGCGTTTTAATTAATTAGCGGACTAAGTTGTGGCACTCACCGTTTCCGAAACACCGAGCCACGAGCCGAAGAGAGCCGAGGACAGGCGGAAGGTGCCGAGGAAAGCCGAGGGGAGCCGAAGCGAGCCGAGGGGAGGCGGGGGAGCAGCTTCCTCACCGCGGAAGGAGACACGGAGCTCCTGCAGGACAATGTGAGACACCGAGAGTTGAACCGACGCAGTTAGCGAGCAGCCAGCCGGGATGGAAGCGGGGTCGGTGTAACGGACACCGGAGCCCAACCTTGACCTGAATATTGCTGCAAATCCGCCTTTTGTCGGCCGACGGAGCGGCCGCAGCGATGGGAATACTGCGCTGAGGAGACGCTGAAGGCGGCGGGCCGACGAACGGCGGAAAGATGGGAGTCGTGCTGCGGAGCCTGTTGTTGTGTAGTTTTTGTTTCCTCGTCCGAGGTGAGTTCGGGCTTCGTTCGGCCTTTTAGCTACAGTTCGGCTCCGTGTTCGATGTGTGCGGGTTTTAAAGTGCTGTTAGGGGCCGGGAAAAGCTGTTTTTGGGGGGATTTGGAGCTCGGCCCGGGGCCCTCCGGGTCTCATTCCTGCCGAGCGGAGCTAACGTTAGCCTGGCTGCTAGGAGCTGCTGGAGCAGAGAATGAAACCACAAACAGCCCGTGTTAGCCAACTTAGCTGGAAAATATCCACCGGAGAGGCTCCGGAGCGCCGCTAGCTGCCTCTGAGTGCAGCTGCCCAGCCTGGATGTGTGGATCCAGGGCGCTAGCAGCTCCGGTTAGCATGCTAGCTGTGTGTTTTATAAGTTATAAACAGGCTGGTCGGGGTTAGCAGCAGTTAGCACAACAAATGCTATGGAAGCAAGTCACCCAGCTAGTTAGCTGCATAACACTCAGGTTAGCAGCAGGGAGCTAACCGGTTAGCTAGTTATTATCTGCATATAACACCAGTAACTTAGTTAATACACCCGTTTGTAAACAGTAGAAATAACAGAATGAAAAGGTGTAAAACTGTAATAAATCCGATTAGAGCAGCAGCCGAGCTGAGGCTGGAGTTAACTCAACAATAAAGAACTTTTCTGAACACTTTCACAAAGAGCTCAGCAGCGAAACCAGCAAAGAGTACAAGGCTCCAGTCAAGTCCTGTAGATGGTCCAAAAGACTTTTAATAACACAGAATACAGCAAATTTGATTTAAACAAGAATTGAAGTCCAACATAAGAACAAAGTAAACAACAACAAAAATAAACTGAAGAATCAGTTTAAAGACTTTAAATCATGTTGAGCTGCAGAAACGTGTCCTAACATCGGGTCACTGTGTTCTGACTGATTTCCACCTGAACCAGGTTTACATGAAACCCACGTTGACCAGAGATCATCTGACAGTCAGGTTTACTGCTGCTGTGGAGGACAGACCATCAGCTCACGATCGTAGAAACAACTCAGTCCAGCTCATCAATAATCTTGATGTGGGATTTTTTTTAGTTTTATTTTTTTGCAGTTTCCAGGAGGAGAGAAAAACTAAAGATGCCTTTATGCAGATGTTGTTCTGGTGTGAATCCACACGTTGAGTCACGACAGAGAAACCAGTTAGAAGGTTAAATCATTTACAGTCATGAACAAACCGTTGTGATATTTTGGTTTATACGTAGCAGGTGAAGGATGAAGAAGTCTATCGATTGATCCATTATTTGTCATCTTTCAATCAAAAGTACATTTAAAGGACAAAATGTTTTTAGATTTCAGCGTCTCCAAAGAGAAGCTTTGCTGCTTTTCTTGGTCCGGTATCAGTCTAAACTGAATATTTGGGCTCCTCTGGGCTGTTGCTTGGTGAGATGTACCGCGACAACGATGAGTTATTGATCCAAGCAGCTGATCGATGGATTCATCCAGAAGATCATCCACCGACTGTCTGACGGTGGAACTAGCAGCCCATCGTTTGGTGTCTTTTTGTGTTCAGAGCTTTAAAAGATGAAGCGATTGTCTCTCAGCAGCTGCATTAAGTCAGTTGATCAGTTTCAGTCGTCTTTATAGAAAGTGAACATTCTGTGATTGCAGCTTTGAGAAGTGAAACTCTTTGTGGATTCTCTCCAGTAAACGGAGTAATTGTGGGTTCCAACCAGCCGATCGATTAATCAATAGATGTGATTGACGGTCAGTTTCAGCTCTCAGGGTTACTACTCCGTTAGAACGCTGACATTCAGGCGCTGATCCGCCTGCTGCGAGCTCAGTTTGAGGTTTTTGTGTTGCGGTTCAGTAAATATTTGGAGAAGGAAATTCCTCCTGAGTGGAAGCAGGCGGCGGAGGGGGTCTCGGCGCTGGATGTGTTGGATTGTGGGTTTGGGTCGGAGCCAGAATCCAGCCGAGAGTCCGACTGCTGCTCGCCTCCCCGACAGCTCATCAACACGTCGACCACACAGGAGGTTCTGGGGGGTTCTGAGGGGGTTCTGGTCCATTCAGGACTGTTGAGCAGAACACCAGGAGTCAGGGGAGCTTCGGGGCTGATGGTGTTCACTGACGTTCATGAGCAAAGTTCTCAGGACGGGTTCTGCTCTTCAGAGTTTTACTGCAGCATCTTTTAAAGTTTTCAGTTTGATTTTTGTTCGTTTCAACGTGAAGCCGCAAAACAAATCCTCTGATACCAGCCGAGTCCGTTTGGATCTCACACCGGGTTCTCACGTTAACCAACCAAAGAACCGAGTGGTTCCAGAACCGCCCCGGCCCTTTAGTGAAGCAGAAATAAACCTTCATCAGAACAAACCATCTAAAAAAATACCCACATGTGATGTTTCTGACAGTAACTATCAGTGATGTGGTTTCTAAAGATCAGAAGACTCTCCAGCAGCAGCTTTATGCGTTCATCCTGGTCTGATGGGCTCTGAGCTGAACGGCTGTTCAGTTCAATAGGTATTGATTATGAACAAATAATGATAGTAAATCTATAAAACAATGAGAATGACGATGTTTGACAGTTAAACGGGTTGTTGTTGAAGCAGGAGCAGAGAAATGAAGAAGTCGTGGTAGAAGATCAGCCCTGGTGCACATGTGGAGCATCTTTATGTTTCTACGGTTTAAATTACGGGTGTTTTGTTTCTCTGAAGTTGTTTAAACGGTGAATTTTGTGTCTTTGTGTGTTTTTGTTTTACTGATGTTGTTGTTCTGTAGTTTAGCTGAAGTGTTTCTGAGTTGTGTTCCTGTCCACTATATACTTCCTGTGTCCGACCCTCCTGACCCGGTGTTTCCGTCCCATCCAGGAGAACCTCTGCTGCTGTATGCGAACCGGCGGGACCTCCGGGTCGTGGACGCTGCACATGAGAAGTCCAACGCCACGGTGGTGGTGGGCGGCCTGGAGGACGCCGCCGCCGTGGACTACGTCTTCTCTCAGGGCCTCATCTACTGGAGCGACGTGAGCGAGGAGGCCATCAAACGGACCTTCTTCAACCAGTCGGGGGGCGGCGCCGTGCAGACGGTGGTGCCGGGCCTGGCCTCCCCGGACGGACTGGCCTGCGACTGGTTGGGCAGCAAACTGTACTGGACGGACTCGGAGACCAACCGGATTGAGGTGGCCGAGCTGGACGGGTCTCTGAGGAAGGTTCTGTTCTGGCAGGAGCTGGACCAGCCCAGAGCCATCGCCCTGGACCCAGAGAGAGGGTGAGTGTGACGGGTTCTGGATCCTGGTTCAGAATCGATCGGAATCAAACGTTTTCCTGCTTCAAACGTGTTTAATCAGCTTCTGATCAGAGTCACCTCTGAGCTGAATGTCTGGGTTCTCTGGACTTCAGGTCCGTCAGACGTAGACCTGCAGCGATTGATCAGCTATTGGCAGCGATTGATCAGTTATTGGACCGATTGATCAGCTATTGGCAGCGATTGATCAGTTATTGGACCGATTGATCAGCTATTGGCAGCGATTGATCAGCTATTGGAGCGATTGTGTATCTGCAGCTGTGTTTGACGTTGAATTGATCCGTCTGAGGTCTCAGTTCGTCCGGTGAACGTGTTCTGGTTTCTCTCCTGTGTGACGGTAGACTGGACCTCTGTGGAGTAGAACAGACGTGTGAGGAAACTCTGATCCACGTTTCTGTCAACATTTTCTGACCTTCAGAGACAAACAGCTGATATCGTTTCTTCTCTTTAGTTTCTGGTTCGTCGCTCAGATAAAAAGAGACTTTTGAAGACGTCACGTTGAAGGTTTTTCTGGACTTTTCTAGACATTCTGTGAACATTTTCATGGCTCTAGCAGTTGTCCTGAATACAGAACCGGACCATGAAAGTAATGCGCTCCTGTGTAGAAGTCATGGACCAGGTTCTGACTCTGTTCTGCTGTTTACGCCTGGTTCTGCCTGACGTCTGTTCAAACTTCTCATGCAAACACGAAGCCATAGACGATAAAACAAATCCAACAGGACCCTGGTACCATGAGATCTAGAAGCAGAACCACTTCCTTCATGTGCCTGTGGACCATGTAGAAGATGTTTTGGTTTTTTCCTGCTGACGTGTGAACGATGAACGCCTTCAGACGTGAGCAGACTTCAGACCTATCTGAGCGGTGATGAAGACGTCCTCAGCTCTCACAGATCAGCCGTTTAAAGCTGCTCAGGGTTCTGTCGGATGCAGGTTTGGTTCTGCTTTGTGGTGTTTACGTGGAGACGGACTTTATCCTACGACTGCAGCGAAGCTCTGAGAATCCACTTAAACAAACCTCCTTCTGCTTCCACTCAGAGCCGAACAATGACCCATCAGAACCAGTTAGCCGAGCTGTCAGCGGCTCGGTGGGAACTGAGCCGGAGTCGGTGGTTTGGCAGAGCGAGAGCTGAACCAGAGCCAGAACACGGTGCCCAGCTCCGCTTTTACATTCTGAACAAACACAGGAGACGGTCGGCCGCGGCGCTGCTGATAATCACGTTTAGAGCAGGAGCAGCGAAACCATCACGTCGGGTTTAACAGAACCGTCGAGGTATCAGAGAAAAGCCAGAGAGCAACAGAAAGTAAAAGTGTGTTTCTCCTTTCATGCTTTTCTGTCTTTTTCAACCAAAAACACTGAAAAAGCCCAAAGTTTTGTGCTTCCAGCGTCTCACATGAACAGATCTGCTGCTGTTCTGTGCTGAGCTGAGCTTGGTGGAGTTTCAGACGTCTGACTGAACAGACTGAGGCATTTAGAGCCGCCCTCTCTGGACTCGCTTCTTTATTCCTGAAGCTTTGGCATCAGTCTGTGTGCAGTCGACTGTTTCTGCTCTTGTTGCCTGTAGTTAGTCGTCCCTCTTTGTGCCGTGGCTCCTGGTGTTTGTTGTGAGCAGTGATCGGGTTATTGACACGTTTGTGTGCTAATATTGAGGTTTTACACCTTTCTGTGTTTATTGTGCAGCTTATTGGTGCTTCTGTGTGTGAAATTAAACCGTATTTGACTTTTTCATAATTTTACCTGAGAACTGATCTGATGAAGGTGCTGTGATAGTTTCTGGTTGTTCCTGTCGACTCCTGACGGTACCTCAGCAGACAGCTGAACTGAGTTTCTGTGAGGTGCTGTTTGGTTGCGACCTGCATGTATAGTTGCAGCAGGTCGCAGCGCCGCCGCCGCCGCTCTGCTGAGTCCTCCGTGGCCATGCTTCCCTCGCCGTGGTCCCGGCGTCTCTCCGGGGAGGCGCTGGATTAGGATGTAAATCCATTAGGACCCAGATAAAAGAGGCCTGTAATGTATTCATTAGTTTTATTTAAATTCGGGCCTCTCGCCGTCTTTCCTGCTCTTCTCTCTTGGGTTTCTATTCATGGAAACTCTTCCCGCTCGCTGTTTGATCCGCCGCTGCGTCGGAGATAAAAGTGTCGCCGAGCCGCCGTGCAGGAGGCCGATCCTGGAGGTTGCTACCAGCGGTACCGGTTGTGTTCTTTTTTTTTAAGTTGTTTTTTTGACCTTTGTGCCTTTATTGATAGAGCAGTGAGAGAGAGAGACAGGAAAGTAGGGGAGAAGAATGGAGGGAGGACGTGTGGGAAAGGACCATGAGTGGGATTCAAACTCATGACCTCCACATCAGGACTGTAGCCCTGCACCTGGGACGCCAGCTCCACCAGGGGAGCTGTAGCGGCGCCCGTACCGGTTGTGTTCTGACTGAACCGGGCTGTTGGATCAGAGAGTTCACCTTAAGTTGGGCTCATTCTGGATGTTACTGACCAGCACCAGGACGGGTCTTTAAATCTGATGGGAGCAAACTGCAGCGTTGACTGGACTCACATGTTCAGACTCATTAGTTTACATCTGCAGAACCTCAGTCGGTCCAGCTTGGCTCCTCCTGGTTGGGTTTTTACGACACTAAGATAATAAGAAATGAGACTAAGAACCGTCATTGAAGCTAACTGGAGTTCTTTAAGTGTCGTAGAACAGCCTGTGTGTTTATCAGATGGTCAGAACGGCAGCATCCTGTTTAGTCCTGGTCTGAGTCAGAGACGTGATCTTTGTCTGTCTGGGAGTGGCTGGATGTTCATTTACTTTGGACCCGTTTGGACTGAACTAACTGTTTCCTCATCGTTCCAGCGGGTCAAACCGGGTCAAACGGTTCTGCTGCTTGACTGAAACCTGATGTGAACGAACTCGGGCTTTAAACAGTCGTCGTGGTGTTTGTGCCCAGAAAGGCCTGAGAGTGAACATCACACTGTCACAGGTGATGTTCACGCCTCACACCTGCTCGGCTGATGGAACCACGAAATGGTCCCGAGCTGAAGAAGAACCTGGGATGTGATCAAAAGCTCTGGACAGCCACCAAATGAAGACACGTGTTTAGTCGACACCCACAGGTTCATTAAATGACTAATAATTACCACCTGAGACAGAGCCTCTGGTCTCCGTGTCCTCCTCTGGAGACGATGAGTCGACCGTCCAGCTGATCCATCGATTAGTTCAGTGACAGGAAGGTTCTGGTGCAGCTCGGGTGTGACGATGTGAAGCGTGTCTTCATCGACTGTGGCGATGAATCGAGGAATTGACCAGCAGATGAACTAATAATGGAAATAATAATCATGAATCGCAGCAGCAGGTCAGTTTAGAGTCACAAGGCCATGCAGGAAATCAGAGTGTTTTTAACATAAACAGTGAAACTGATCAGCTGATCATTTAATCAATAGCTGAAGTCTACAGTGACAGTCAACAGTGTGAGTTCAGAGTCAGATCAGTTCATCAAACAGCTGTTGTTGATTTTATTTCTCTTGGTGAAGCTGTGATTTAATCTGATCAGTCGATCCTGCTGTTGGGCTTCAGTCCTGATCAATAATGGAGCAGCAGCAGCTCGGCCTGACCTCAGCCTGTGAGTGAGAACAGCTTCAGCTCAACTGCTGTGATTGATGATGAGCAGCGATCAAACTCGTGTACCAGCAACAGCAGCTCCTGCTTTAATCGGTCGC